TGACACACCCATCCCGATTACCCCAGTCACTGAATCAATCCACCTCATAGAGGATCTTCCCCTCCTGCGCTGTCCCTCTACTCTACCCAGCATGATGTCCCTCTCTACCTCACTGATAAGGTAATATCTGGGAAAATGACTGAGGAATTAAAGGAATGAAGCATAGTAGTATTTACAGGAGAAGTATACAAGGAGAGGGAAAAGACACATTACTGTTGCTATTAATTACCACATTTACTATTAAAAGGCCTTTGATTAAAAACTGTGAATAGAAGCAGTGTGGACTTTGTGGTCACAAGAACTTAGGTTTAAAATCTTAGCTCTGATATTTATCAGCTGTCATATCAGAATTTACTTATTGGGAGATTGAAATGAAGAAGATATATGATTGTGAAGAATAGCTGAAATAACTTCTTAAAAATTTTATATTGGTTTGCTAACAAAGTTCATATACATTGTATTTCACACTGTCCTTAATTCACATTGTGTTTTGTACAATCATTCCCATTCATATGTTTTATAAAATCAATCATTGAACTATGCCCACCCTTATCCTGTCTTTCCAGATTCCCATTTCCTTTACCCACCCCTCCCAACACCCACCAAATTGTGCAGCCCCATGATTTCCCCTATGTCCATCATTTCCCTTCTACTCCCACCCTCCTTACTGTGGATTCTTATACATGTTTTATTAGTTGTCTTTCTATTTTTACATTAATGATTTTATGCAGTATTTGTCCTTATGAGACTGAGTTAGTTCACTCAGCATAATGCCCCCCAGTCCCTCCCAAGTTATGTAGTAATTTTTGAAATTATTGCTCCTGCATGCAGTGTAGTATTCCATTGTATGAATGTATCACAGTTTCTCAGTTCATTCAATTGGACAGTTGAGCTGTTTCCACATTCTTGCAATGGTGAAGAATGCTGCTATGAACATTGTGATACAAATCTCCGTTTGTGTCTCAGTTCTAATTTTTTCAGGGTATATTCCTACCAATGGGATCGCTGGTTCATATGGAATTTCTGTGTTCAACTTTTTGAGGAAACATCAAACTGTTTTCCAGAGTGGTTGTACCATTTTACAATCCCACCAGCAGTGTATGAGAGTTCCTATCTCTCTGAATCCTGAGATTAGTTTTTCCCCTGAGATAACTTTTTTGTTTTTAAAAAAATTTTTAATTGGTGTTTTAATGAAAGTTTACAGAAAACTTGGATTTCCATTCATTCACTCTTACACATTTTCTATCTCCAACCCCCCCCCCCACCCGGTTAGCTTTTCTCTTTAAAATGACTCTTTCATTGTTGCACAATGAGATAACTTTTAAAAGTCTTGGCATGTAACAAATTTATGTATCAACTCATGATTTTTTGAGTTTTAAAGCTTTTTCATGGTCCATTGTTTTTACATTCTTCATCTTACCCCTTTCTTTAAAACCGGTACAATTTTTACTTTATCTGCATTCATTTTTTTTTCTCTTTCTAAAAATGTTCCATGATTTCAGAGACAGATTAGCTCAGGATAGGGCAGGGTTCAGAGCTATTGTGCATAGGATCACTATGAATTGTAGTCAACTAAACAGCACATAACAACAACAATGATACATTTCTAAATAATTTAATTTTATTTTGTGAAGATAGCATTTAATAGGTCTAACAGGAGGAATTAGTATTTTCATCTTCCTTAACTGATGAATCTAATTTTTTTCAGGTATGGTAGGGCATGTGAGACAGAATGTAAAGCCTGCATACTGTTGTTGTAAAATAAAATTACTAGAAGGCAGAGATTCTCTTGCTTGTTTTTTTTTTTTTATTATTGTACCTAACATTCATCTCAGTTCATTAAACATTTATTTATCATCTACTATGTGCCAAAGAAATGTACCATGCACTGGAAATTGAAAATGCAGTGGTATGTTATTTTCACTATTGAGGAGCTCATGGTTTAATTGGGTAAATAGATAATGGGTACATATTTGTAATTCATTGCCTTATGTGCAATAATAAAGATATGTGTAGAATTTTAGACTTTTGCTGTTGTTGTGTACTGTTGAGTCAGGATACCCTCCAGCTGGGTTTTCAGAGGCTGTAAAGTACATGGGAGTTGATTGTCCATCTTTCTTGTGTGAAACAGCTGGTGGATTTGAACTGTGTGCTGGGATTAATCCTAGAACAGTGCATTTGTGATTTATGATCATGCAGGAAAAGGTGGTGCTAGGAGAGATTATGTACAGGAGTAGAAGCTTGAGTTGAACAGGCTAATAAAAGAAATCCAATCAACATAATTCATCACATTAAAAAAGCAAATAATAAGAACCACATGATCTTAGCAATTGATGCGGAAAAGGTATATGACAAAATCCACTACTCCTTCCTGAGAAAAATAGGACTAGAAGGAAATTTCTTCAACATAGTGAAAAGTATATATGCAAAATCAAGAGCCAATATCATTCTTAATGGGGAAGGACTAAAAGCATACTCATTGAGAACAGGGACCAGACAAGGATGTCCACTGTCACCACTCCTATTCAGTATTGTATTGGAAGTACTTGCTAGGGTAGTACGACAAAAGAAGGACATAAAAGGCATCCAGATCAGCACAAAGGTGGTGAAACTGTTGCTATATTCAGATAGAATAATAGTGTACATAGAAACCTTGAGGACTTAACAAAAACCTGTTAGAGCTAGTGGACTAATATAGTAGAGTGGCAAGATACAAGATCAATACACAAAAGTCAGTGAGATTCCCTTACAGTAACAAAGAACTCAGAGAAGGAAACTAAGAAAGCAATACCATTTACAATAGCCAACCAAACAATTGAGATATTTAGAAATAAACATAACTATAGACACAAAAAGACCTTTATGAAGAAAATGAAAAAATACTCTGCAAGGCAAAATGAAATAACTAAAAAAATGTAAAAATATTCCCTTTTCATGGTTAGGAAAACTCAATATAGTAAAAATGGCAATCTTAGCAAAAGCAAGCTACATGTTCAACACAATCCCAAGACAGACAGATACCAAATTCATTTCTCAAGAGATAGAAAAAACAATTGCCAAGTTTATTTGGAAAGAGACCGCAAACAAGCAAAACATTTCTGCATAGCACTCTCTGATCTCAAAACCTACTACACAACTGTAATAACCAAAACAGCATGGTACTGGTACAACCACAGTCACATAGACCAATGGAACAGAATTGAGAACCCAGAAATTAAGCCATCTATCTATGGTCAACAGATTCAACAAGGAAACAAAAACTATCAAATGAGGAAATGACAATCTCTTCAACAACTGGTGCTGGTGGAACTGGACTACTATTACCTGCAGAAAACTCAAGCACTTCTTACCACACATTAAAAAAAATCAACTCAAAGTGGATCAGAGACCTAGGGGTAAAGCCCCAAAGCGTAAAGACCGTAAGAAACAAAGTAGGATCAAGCTTAGAAGGCTTAGCTCATGGTATAAAAAGGCTGACAAATATACAACCAAGACAGGATAAAACTGATGAATGAGATATACTAAAAATTTAATTCCTGTGTACATCAAAACACTTTCCAATACAGTGAAAAGAAAACCTACTGACAGAGGGGAAAAAATTGGAAATGCCATCTCAGACAAGTCTCTCAGAACAAAAGTTTACAGAATCCTACTGTACTTCCACAAAAAAAGACTGATTACACAATTACAAAATAGGCAAAAGACATAGGAAGACCTTTCACAGAACAGACACATGAAGAAATTCTTAAAATCATTGGCAATAAAAGAGATGCAAATCAAAACTACAATGAGATACACCCATAGCAGTGGCCAACTCTAACAGGACAACAAGTAATAAATATTGGAGAAGATGTAGTGAGATAGGAACTCTTATGCAATATTGGTGAGATTATAACCACATACAACCACTCTGGAAGGCAGTTTGGCATTTCCTGAAAAAGCTGAACATAGAAATTCCATATAACCCAGATATTTGCTTGGAATATGTTATTGTTGTTGATTGCCATTCAGTCGAGCATAATGTATAGCGACCCTATGAACAAAAGACCTGAAGCCTTTCTGTAACTATTGTCATTTATCAAAGTTAATAGAGTTTCCAGAGGCATGTTGTTTAGGAAGCAGATGCCACTCCTGCTTCCAAACTAGGAATATACCTGGAGAAAATTAGAGCAGACACACAAATGGAGACTTGTACACCAATGTTGATAGCAGCATTAGTCACCATTGCAAGAACATGGAAACAGCCCAAATGTCCAACCACAATTGAATGGATTGAAAAATTGTGGTACATTCTCACAATGGAATACTATGTAGCATGCAGGAGCAATGATTTTGAAATTACTACAAACTTGGGATTGACTGGAATGCATTATGCTAAGTGAACCAACTCAGTACCAAAAAGACAAATACTATGTAAGACCATTATTGTAGAAATAGAAAACTAGTAGAACATGTATGAGGATCTAAGGAGCAGAACAGTGAGAATAGGCTAGAGGGTAATCCTAGGGTAGAGGGAGAGGTGGGCAAAGGAAATGGGAAAGATCTGATGTGAAAAACAATGTATACGAACTTTGTTAAGCAAACTAGTACTAAAGAAAAATTTGTTTTTTTTTTTTTTAAAAGAATAGGCTAATAGGAACCACAGATCGCATTGTAGTTCATTTACAAGGGGGAAATGTTTTTATAAATGAGAAAACATTTCTATTTAACTGTGGAAAATAATTAGAAAATAAAGTTTAAACAATACTTAAGTTGCCTACCCGTATAACAAAATGTGTTTTGGAAAAAAAATTGATTTTGAAATTCTTCTGCAGAATGTAAATTTCACTACTGTCCAAAGGAAATACTTCAATGAAACAAAAGGACTAGAATACATTGAACAGTTATGCATAGCAGAATTCAACACTGTCCTCATGGAGGTTCAGGCCAAGTAAGTTTTGATGTAAGAAAAGCAATGAGTCTTGAGTGTGACTTTCATGAGTGCAAAGACTGCTGTTTTGCATTTTAATATATTCCTGGCACTAGGAAAATGTTTTACACACTCAGTAATTACTGGAATAGTAATAAAAATACAAATTGCTAACAGTTTAGGCAAAATTTCCCCGGATTAGTCATCATCTGTTTACTGATCTCTGCTAACTTGATATTTGGAGAGAAAATTGTAAATAGTTATAATAAAGTGGAAATATGAAGGCTTAGAACTGAAAGAGTTAAAACTTTGTTCATATTAGTTCATACTTTGCACCTACATCATTCAGTGTGAGAGGAGGGGATAATTTTAGAACAGTTGTTTGTTTTTTTAACTTGTTAGAAATACACATTTTTTTTAAAAAAAATACACTAAATTTGATCTTCATGCTTTCTTACTTAGTTACATGGTTACCCTTCCCTAAGATTTTAACATACTGGAACCTTATACTTGTACCTTTAAAGCTGTGAAACACATTTGACGTTGTCTAAGTACTTAGAATGGGATATCTATATCAATCATTGAGTATTGTCCTATAACTTATCCACATATGAAGCTCCAGTGGTCTAGAGGGTAGGAAGTTGTACTTCACACTCAAAATCAGACAATTCGATCCATTAGAGGCTCCATATGGGAATGACAGACAATCTCCTGCTGTATGACTCCTGAAAACCTGCTGGAAAGTCGGCTATGTGTCAGTTCTTACTCTATGGAAATTAATAAGTAATAGGTAATGTCCACTAAGCATCAGACGTAATAAAATAATTTGCCTCCTGTTTTTGAAAAAAATGAATTGCTATGTTTTTGAGGCTATTTACTAAGTGTAACGTCCACTAAGCATCAGACGTAATAAAATAATTTGCCTCCTGTTTTTGAAAAAAATGAATTGCTATGTTTTTGAGGCTATTTACTAAGTTTTTAAAATAAGGGATTATTATTTTTTTTTTTTAAATAAGGGATTATTTTTGTTGGGAGCGAGATATGTTATCAATGTTGAGAAGGGAGAAGGTGGCGCAGAAAAAGAAGGGAAGAAAATCACTACTAGAGGTAGTAGGTGGAAAGGGGTTGAAAGAATAGGAACCATTCAATAATAACCTGAAAAGATGGGGTGATAATAGATCAGTAGTAACTAATTATATGTATATGAATGATTGTATAAATACAGTGTACATTAGTAAAACAAAATATATATGAAGGATTGTATACAAACTGATAAAAATAGTATAAGAAGAGAATTATATGTTTTCTTTTATAGCAAAAATTTATTCTGAAAGCTTCTTGTGGTTGTCATTGTTCATCTTACAGGTATTACTGCCTTGCAGCAGTTGCAGCTTTGCTAAAATATGTTGAATTTATTCAGAATTCAGTTTATGCACCAAAATCGCTAAAGATTTGTTTCCAGGGTAGTGAGCAGACAGCTATGATTGATTCCTCATCAGCCCAAAACCTTGAATTGCTAGTTAATAATCAAGATTCTAGGTAAGATTATTCAATGTTTTGTTTTACAAAATGGGGCATTATATTTTATTATGTCACTTTTAATGCATACATTAATATTTTAAAAATTGATGGAATAAGAGTGAATAATCATTGCTGAATTGCTGAGTTGTTTCCACCATATTAAGTTTTAAAAATATAAGACAGGGATGAGCAAAGTCCAATGGTGATTAATTTTTTTAAATTTAGATTTTAATGAAAGTTTATAGAGAACTTGGATTTCCATTCACTCATTGTTAACACATTTTCCTCCCTGGACACTCCCTCCACCTCACCTTGCCAAGCTCTCTTTACTCTTTGAAAAAAAAATTCTTTCATTGTTGTATAATTCCCCACCCCACTCATCCACTTTACTATATAGCTCTTATTTTAGACTGTTGTCATGCAAATAATACCTAATCATATATTCCTTTTAAGCAATTCTTTCCCTTATCTGTTTCAATGCAGTGTATATTATTTATTCTCTCTTTTCTTAGTTTCTCCCTAATCTTGATGTCAGTTCTGTTTTATAACAGTAGCATTATGCAGTATTTGTCCTTTTGTGACTGAGATATTTCACTCAGCATAATGTCCTCCAGGGTCAACCATTTTGTATAATATTTCATGAGTTCCTTGTTTTTCAGTGCTGTGCAGTATTCTATTGTCTGAATACACTGCAGCTTCTCTATCCATTAGTTTGTTGATGGGCACTGGGGTTGTTTCCATATCTTTGTTCTTGTGAACAATGCAGCAGTAAACATAAGTGTGCATATATTTGCTTGGATGGCAGTTGTTATTTCTTTAGGGTAAATTCCCAATAGTGGAATTGCTGAGTCAGATTGTATTTCTATTTGCAACTTTTTGAGAAAGTGCTATACTGATTTCATAGTGGTTGCACCATTTTACACTCCTACCAACAGCAAATAAGGGTTCCGTTTCAACCTTGTCAGCATTTGTTGTTTGCTGCTCTGTTGAATTTTGCTATTCATACTGGGGTGAAATGATATCTCCTAGTTTTTTTGAATGGTGATTAATTTTATAAAACACAATACATGAGGAGAAAGAAAAAAAAGACTCATCTGATTTTCAAGAGGAAGTATTGAGGGTAGAAAAGAAGGATGAAGAGGAACGACGAACACTTGAAAGTAGAAATTGTTATTTTTTAGGATTATAATCAGTGCAAATCAAAAGGTGTATAAATTGTTAGCTGGAACGCTACTTTGCTCTTTGTAAACTTTCACTTAAATCACAATAAACATTAAAAAATGAGGTAATTCTGGTCTAGAATAACCACAGTATTAATCAGTGTAAAGTCATCAAATTCAGGGAATCCAAGAGGCTCTGTAGTCATTGGAGATGTTGTTTGGTACCATCAAGTTGAGTGGAACTCGTAACAGCCTCTGAACAGACCTGAATCTTGCCCTATCCTGTGTCATCCTCATGCTCTCTCACATGCTTGAACTCATTGTTACAATCACTGTGTCAGTCTCCTCTCTTTCTCTGATCCTCCATCTTTTCCTGAATTATTTCCTTTTCCAAGAACTGGTCCATCCTGAAATCAGGACCCAATATATGTGAGATAAATCTTCACTATCCTTGTTCCTGGTTGCACTTCCTTCAAGATGGACTTGCTTGTTCTTTTGACAGTTCATGGAATATTGAGTACTCTTCTCAGACTGTGGCCTGGGTGACATGCACCTTAGTCTATAAATGGATGACTTTGCTCTTTAGAACTTTGGAAGGGTCTTTGATAGCAGATATCCCAAATACAATACATCTTCAATGAAAGGATGCTCATTGTAGATCCAAGTAAGAAGAAATTGTAGACAACTTTAAGCTTTTCTCCATTCATCATAATGATGTCATTTTACATCAACATCATGATGAATAGAGAAAAGATTAAAGACTATTGCAATGGGAAAGTCTGCAGTTAGAGACCTTTCTAAAGTACTGAAGAGCAATGATGCCAGTCTGGGGACTAGGTACACCTGATACATGCCATGATCTTTGCAATCACTTGCTATGCATCAGAGCTGGAAAATGACTAGGGATGATAGAAGGAGAATTGATGTCTTTGAGCTGTGGTGTTGGAGCAGAGTATTGAATATACCATTGACTGCTAAGAAAATGAACAGGTTTGTCCTGGGGATGGTAAAGCTAGGCTGCTTCTTGGAAGCAACAATTCTGAGCCTTCATCTGACATACTTTGGACATGTTGCAAGGAGGGACCAGTCCTTGGAGAGGGACATCATGCTTGGGAGGGTGGAAGGACATTGCAGGAGAGGAAAACCCTCGATGAGATGGATTGATTCAGTGACTGGGGTAATGGTGGTAGGTGTGTCAGAGACAGTGAGATTGGCACAGGATCGGGCAGGGTTTAGGGCTGTTGTACATGTAGTCACTATGAGTCGCAGGTGACTCGATGGCACATAACAACAACAACACGATTAAAGATTATTGACTGTGCAAAGGCATTTGACTTTAGATCATGACATGTCGTGGCTGACATTGAGAATAATGTGAATCCTAGAGCTCTTGACTGTGGTCATGTGGAACCAACGCTGTTAGGGGAATACTACATGATTTGGAATTGAGAAGGAAGTTCACCAAGGTCATATTCTCTCTCCATACCTATTCAGTCTGTATGCTGAGCAAATTATCCAAGAAGCTGTACTCTATGAGGAGGAGTGTGGCATTGGATCGGAAGGAGATTCATCAATAACCTGTGCTATGCAGGAGACATAACCTTGCTTGCTGAAAATGAACAGGCTTGAAGCACTTGTTGCAAAAGATCAAGGAATGTAACCTTTTGTATGGATTGCATCTCAATGTCAGGAAAACAATGTTTCTTACCACTGGACCTATAGGCAGTGTCATGATGGATGGAGAGGTGATTGAGACTGTCAACAGCTTCATCTTGCTTGGATCTACAGTTAACACCATTTGTACGAGCAGTCAGGAAATAAGAAGACACATTGCACTGGGGACATCTGCAGTTAGGAACCTTTGCAAATTATTGAGGAGTAGTGATGTCAGTTTAAGACTAAGGTTCATTTGATCCAGGCCATGTTCTTTCTGATTACTAGCTATGCATTCAAAACCAGGACAATGAATAAGGATAACAGAAAAAGAATTGATGCCTTTGAGCTGTGAAGTTTGAGGACACTAATCATTTCATGGAAGGCCATGAGAATGAACAGATATGTTTTGGAGAGGTTGCGGCTGGAGTGCTCTTTGGAGGCAATGAATGCTCTTTGAAGGCTTCACATACTTTGGGCTCATTGCTAGGAGGGGCTATTCCTTGGGGAATAAAATGATACTGGGAAGGATGGAGGTCAGCGAAGGAGAGGAAGACCTTCAACCGGGTGGATTGACACTGTGACTGCTGCAGTGGGCTCTTGTATGTCAGGAAATGTGAGAATGACACAAGATAGAACAGGGTTCAGATCTTTTTGTTCATAGGGTCACTATAAGTTGTATTAAACTTGACAACACCTAACAAAAACAACAGTATCATGAGTTATCGGAATGGAGGATAAAATATTTGGACCAACTTGTTCTATGGTGTATTTGACTATATTTCTTATTTTTTTGGTAGACTAATTTTAATAAGAACTTCAGGATCAATACCTAAAATTTGCCTTATGAGGTAATAGGAATATTGATAGTGCATGTCAGTCAGAAAGATGAAGACACATGTACATAAACCCAAGTTTTATATATCTTGTAACAGAATACTTAGAATGAAGATGTTATTAGATGATGTATGGAACCTGTACTATGCCTATACAGTATGGATTGTAATGAACCTATCGTATGGAATGCATGAACATTCACATTCCAGGCATTTGTGAGAGGAGTTGGACTGCATGGGCCACTTTTAGTCAGAGAGTCATTTTATACTGTGTTAGGAATGGAAAACAGAAGAAGAATGGTGTTGCATTCAAAGTTAAAAAGGTTGTGAGTGATAGGATTCTATCCATACATATACAAGGAAGATAGGTTAATTCAGCTATGCAGTCTTGATGAGTTAAATAATTGGTGAATGGAATGCAAAAATTGGAAACAATGAAGAATGAATGGTACTCAGAAAAGATGAGTGAAAGAAATGAGGCCAGAGATAGAATGAATAAATTTTATCCATTAAACAGTGTATTTATTGCAAATACTTTTTTTTTTTTAAAAAAACACAAGAAGAATAGTTAGTGATTGTCGGAAGAGCAAACAGATATGTCTTGGAGAAAGTGCAGCCAGAGATTTCATTGGAAGCAAAGATAATCATGCTTTGTCTCACATACTTTGGGCATGTTGCAAGGAAGGGCTGTTCTTTGGAGAGGGACATCATGCTTGAAAAGGTCTGGTATGGTGAAAGAGAGCAAGATCCTCAACCAGATGCAATGACAACAGTGACTGCAAAACGAGCTTAAGATTTATCTAGATAACTGTACTGGCCTAGTGGTTAAAAAAATTCAGTGTTAACAAAAAGATTGGCAGTTTAAATCTATCAGCTACTCATGGGAAAAAGATGTGTCTTTTCCTCTCATAAAGACTTACGGTCTTGAAACTTGATGGAAGTTCTCCAAAAGTTAGAGTTGATTTGACAGCAGTGAATTTTTCTTAAATTTTATTTTATTATTTTTTGTGTGAATACCATCAAATTGGATCTGACTGGTACAGGAGGAGAATTGTGGATTTTTTTTTTAAGGTAAATGTTGACACTTTTTAGTAAGCACAAAAGTCATTCTGTATTACTTTTTATTATCCATCAATATAATATGGTAGTCTCAACACCTTCACTGTAGTTCTATTGACTAATGGTGGTCTGAAAATGAAAGCTTTTTAAAGCAGTTTATAATTAATTGTGCTTATTCGTTTTCTGACAAGTGAATAAGCTACACTTTTCTCACTGCTAAGTAAAAAGTTTAAAATAATATTAACTAGAAAACTTTATCTTCTTTAGCTTTGTACTGTAGTCATGTAAATGGACATAGAAAGTCAGTAACTAATTTTAGCCATTGTTAACAGTGTCTTTTACTCCCCCCACTTGTCTGTCAGTTTGTTGTTCTGTGGTGAGTTATATAATTAGAAAGTTAAAATGCTTTCTTAGGTATTATTTTCTTAATGAAAAATTTTCTAATGTATGTTTTAAAAGGAACAATCACACACTCTTTGGTGTTCTAAATTATACCAAGACTCCTGGAGGGAGCAGAAGACTTCGTTCAAATATACTGGAACCTCTGGTTGATATTGAAACCATTAACATGAGATTAGACTGTGTTCAAGAACTACTTCAAGATGAGGAACTATTTTTTGGTCTTCAGTCAGGTAAATGAATAATTTTATAAATATAAACTATTTAAAAAAATATTGATCTAGTAGGGAGCTCTGATGGCCTAGTGGTAAGAAACTGCACTGCAATCCCAAAGGCACATGGTTCAAATCCACCAACTGCTCCTCAGGAGAAGGATGGGCAGTCTTCTCTTGTGTGATTAATTGCTTCTGAAAACCTGCTGGAGGGTCAGCTATGGGTTTGTTTCAACTCAATGATACACAACAACAACAAAGTTGAGTTATAACTCCCATGTTTCTGAAAGTGTGAAGTAAAACTCTTAAGTTTTTAACTTATTTGATGGTAGCTGTTTTTCTGAAATTTTCTTCTGAATCCTGTAGTAGATAATTTAAAAAGTCCATTTTCTTATTTTAATTTCCTAAGTTTCACTGATTTTTTCATAGCTATCTTGTTAATTCTGTTTCTATGCAGTAATCTTCATAAGATGCAATGTTTTTCCAGATTTTATGACTGTCATCATCATAGAGAGTAAGAGAAAGGCCCAGGAGGCCTGGATGTTTCTTCACTGTCATGGATGATTCTTAGTTTTAATTCCTTTTTTTGTTTGTTTGTTTCAGTTATATCAAGATTTCTTGATACAGAACAACTTCTTTCTGTTTTAGTCCAAATTCCAAAGCAAGATACGGTATGTTCATATATATGTTTTCTTAATGTGATCTAATTTTTTTTTCTTCTGAAAAACTATTCTGTTTAATAATGCACTTCATATGTTCTACAGGGTGGGTAGGACTGGGGAAACAAAATAAAATCACCTTTCTGTCAGGAAAACTCAGGGAGTTCCATTCTAACCCAGCCAAGAGCCCTGCTTCAGTCTCTGGCCAAGCCGCCTTTCTCCGGGTCTTTATTATTTGTATTTATTCTCAGTTGTTGAACAATCAGGAGAGGTCCAGGGCTAGTTATCATAGGTGACAGAGGGAAAGGCTAGTTAAGTGCTTCAAAAGAATCCTCAGAAACCAAGGGTTTGGGGTAAATCACTTTTCTCACAGGCATGAAGAGGCAGAGAGAGGGAGGATAAAAGGAAACAGATACCAATGCTAAGAGTTTCTGATACATTCTACCTCCCAGTTAGGCTGACTAGTTGAATTTTCTGCACATATCATAGGACAGGACAAAGAGTTGTCTTATGATACTGCTAAGGCTAGTTAGAAACTACCTGCTCCAAAAGCCCTAAAGACCGTAAGCATTATGGAAAACTTTCCTTGGGTGTTGTTGGTGTGGTTTGTTTTTTTTTTTCTTTTCTTTCCCCTCAAGAAAATACTCATCTGAGCATCAGATTTTCATAATTAATGACATTATGGAACCAAACAGCACATTTCTTGTCAAAGCCCAAAGCTGAAATGGGAAGACTGGCTTTGAAATGTAACTTCCATTTCTGCTTCCTAGCAAAGAGTTAGGTTTTAGCATTGTTTCCATTGCTGTTAACTTTCCATTGTGCTGTTAACTCCAACTAAGGAATCCTTTCTCCCCCTACTGTGCTTCCATGCCTAGGCATTAGTGAGATATGACAGACAAGCTTTGGACACTTTGAATCAGATAATTTTATGGTATACTATGCAAGGAATGAATGAGAGAAGACTGATGTTGCACTCATAGTAAAAAAGTCAATTTCAAGCTGTATCCTGAAATACAATGCTGTGAATAATAGGATAATATCTATAAGCATACGAGGAAGACCCATTATATGATTATTATTCAAATATATGCTCTTACATCTAGTGCCAAAGAGGAATTTTTGAGAAAATTGAGAATTTTTGCCAATTTTTGCAGTCTGAAATTGAGCAGATATGCAATCAGGATGTGTTAATGATAATTGGTGACTGAAATGCAAAAGTAGGAAACAGTAAAGAAGGAACAGCAGTTGGAAAATATGGGCTTGATAATAGAAATGAAGCTAGAAATAGAATGATTGAGTTTTGTATTTACAGTGATTTTTAATTGCAAATGAATATTCTAAAAGGCACAAAAGGTGACTTTAGACATGGATTTCACCTGATGGGCTGCATAGGAGTCAGATTAACTACATTTGTGGAAGAAGTCGTTGGAGAAGCTTAATATAGGCAGTTAGAACTAGGCTGTGTCAGACTGTGGGTCAGATTATCAATTACTCATATTCAAGTTCAAATAGAAGCTGAATAAAATGAAAATAAGTCCACAGGAACCCAAGGTATGATCTTGAATCAATTCCATCTGAATTTCACGATCATCTTAATAAAAGGTTTGAGGCATTGAACACCAGTGATAGAAGACCAGATGAGTTGTGGGATGAAGAAAGCAAAAGGTCATTAGGAAAACAGGAGAAAGGGAAAAAAAAGAAAATAAAAATGGAAGTCAGAAGAGACTCTAAAGATTGCACTGGAACATCTAGAAGGCAAGTCGAAAGGAAAACATATTGAAGTGAAAGAGCTGAACAGACGATTTCAAAGGACAGCTTGGGAAGATAAAGTAAAATATTATAATAGAATGCTCAGAGAATAAAAAGGGAAGAACTTGCTCTGCATTTCTCAAGCTGAAAGTACTGAAAAACAAATGTAAGCCTTTTGTTGCAATATTGAAAGATGCTCTGGGCAATATATTGAATGACCCAGAAAGCATCAAAAGAAGACGGAGGGAATACACAGAATCTCTGTACCAGAAGGAATTGATTGACAGTGAAAAATTTCAGCAAGTTCTCAGGCCTGCAGCCCAAAGGCCTACTTTTTGTGGATCTCTTGAATAAAACAGGCTTGGAAGCAGGAGTGGCATCCACTTAAAAAAAAAAGCTTGCCTCTGGAAACTCTATGAACTTGGAGACAAGATGAAAGTTTTGTGTTCAAGACTTTTGTTCATAAGGTAGCTATGGATTGTCTACAACTCTATGGTACTTAATAACAACAACCGTATGAACAAAAGCCAATGGCAGAGGAAGTGGAAGCTCCATTGAAGGAACTGGTAATAAAATAAGGCCCCAGGAATTGATACCAATTTGCTTGTTTCAGTTAACAGATGCAGCCTTGGGTGTGCTCACCAGTCTATGCCAGGGAATTTGGAGGATGGCTGTCTGGCCAATGGATTGGAAGAGGTCCAAATTTGATCCCATTCCTCAAAAAAGGTGATCCAACTGAATGTGGACATTATTGAACAATATCATTGATATTACATGCTAGTAAAATCTGAAGATCATTAAAAAATGGCTGGAACAGTACATAAAGAAGGAATTTCCAGAAGTTCAAGCAGGATTTAGAAGAGACCGTGGCACCAGGGATATCATTGCTGATGTCAGATGGATCCTGGCTGAAAGTAAGGAATATCAGAAGAATGTTTATTTATGTTTTATTGAGTATGCAAAGGTGTTTGACTGTGTGGATCATGATAATTTATGGCTGACATTGAGAAGAATGGGAATCCCAAAGTACTTTATTGTGCTCATGAGGAACCTATACCTGGATCAAGAGGCTGTTGAGCAAATGGAGTCTCTTGCCTCTCCAAATAAACTTGACAATTCCCCTTATGATCTCCTTGGAAAATGTATTTGGTATCTGTATTGCGATGGTGTTGAATATGTAGACTACTTTTGGTTGGATTGTCATTTTCACAGTATTGAGTCTTCCTATCCATGAACAGGGAACATTTTCCCACTTATTTAGGTCTTTTCTCATGTTTCGCAGAAATGTTCTGTAGTTTTCTTTGTATGGATCTGTTGTGTCTCTAGTTAGGTTCACTCCCAGGTATCTCATTTTGTGGTTGTTTATTGTAAATGGTATTGCTTTCATGGTTTCCTTCCCTGAGTTCTCTTTAGGGGACAGTAAAACTACTGTATGGATTGAGGCTTAATGTCAAGAAGACAAAGATTCTCACCACTGGGCCAATTGGCAGCATCAGGATGGATGGTGAAGAGATTGAGATTGTTCACAGCTTTAGTTTGCTTGGCTCCACAGTCAACACTCTTGGCACCAGTAGCCAGAAAATTAAAAGGCGCATTGCCATGGGAAAGTCTGCTGTTAGGGACCTCTCCAAAGTACTGAAGAGCAATAGTGTCTCTCTAGAGACTAAGGCGTGTCATACCGGCCATGTCTTTGCAATCACTTGTTATGTATCAGAGAGTTGGACAATGACCAAGGAGGACAGAAGGAGAATGGATGCCTTTGAGCTGTGGTGCTGGAGAAGAGTGTTGAGAGTACCATGGACTGCTAGGAAAACAAACAGATTCATCCTGGAAAGGGTTAAACCGGGTGGCTCCTTGGAGGCAAGGATTCTGAGGCTCCATCTAACATACTTTGGACATGTTGTAAGGAGAGACTGGTCCTTGGAGAAGGACATTATGCTTGGGATTGTGTAGGGACAGCACAGGAGGGGAAGACCCTCTATGAGGTGGATTGATTCACTGACTAGGGTAATCAGGATGGGTGTGTTGGAGACAGTGCAATTGGCACAGGACAGAGCAGAGTTTAAGGCTGTTGTACATAGGGTCGCTATGAGTTGCAAGCAACTCGACGGCACATAACAACAACAATAACAAAACTACTGTAAAGGAATCCCACTTATTTTTGGTATTGATCTTCTATCTTGGTACCCTACTAAACTGGTCTACTAGCTCTATCATTTTTTTTTCTTTGTTGCGTCCTTGGGGTTATGTGGGTATACTATCTTATCATCTTCATATAGCAATAGTTTAACCTTTGCCAATCTGGATGTCTTTTATTTCTTTCTCTTGTCATATTACCCTGGCAATAAGTACATACTTCTTATAGACACATTCTACAAAGAAATAGCTGGTTTTCATTTCTGCATTTAAGGATAACCAGAGTATTTATTTAATATACTTTCACCTATATGTTTATGAGGGAAGTCATCTATTAGTAAAATTTAATTATCTTTGCAACTCTTTTGAAAGCTAATGTGTTTGTAAAGTCCATAACATGGAGAAAAGACTTTTAAAACTAATTTATAGAAACATCACTAGATACAGCATTTTTTATTTTGAGTGGACACAGAACTGAGAGTTTTCTTAAATAATTGGAATACCATATAATTAAATATATACAAATGAAAAAATATTGATTGTTCTTTGGAACAAATAGCTGTCTTTATATAGTGAATTTGAAAGTATCTATTAGTTTTCAAATTTCTGGTAGAGTTTGTATAGAATAAATATTATTTCTTCCTTAAATGTTTAGTAGAATTGATAAGTGAAGCCATTAAAGTTTTAAATTTTCTTTGTAATAGTGGTGTTAATTATAAATTCAGCTTATTAAATAAATATGAGTGTATCAAGCTATCATTTATGCTCCTTTATGTAAAATATCAGATACTGTTCTAAATCTGAGCATTCAAATTCAGACAGACTGGGAAAAAGGATAGGTCATCCACTTCCAAAATAACGAGCCTTTAAAACCCCTATGTACAGTAGAACGCACTTAGATTAGCAGATAAGGCATCTGAGGCTGAGTCCTCAAATAAGGAAACAAAAAGAAGGAAGAACAATTGTAAGAAGTGACTAGTGATTGGGATGTGAAATGTCAGAAGCATGAATATAGAAAAATTAGACATTGTTAAGAAAGAAATGGAATGCTTAATATTGACCTACTAGATATTGGCAAAGTGAGATGGCTTGGCATGGGACATTTTTAATCAGATGATCATATGATC